CCCCCCCGAGTGCTGGGATTACAGGTGTGCACCACCATGTCTAAACAGATGAAGCACTTCCGAGCGGGGCATTTGGTACTCCTACTGAATGATACCTGAGTTTCTTTGTTCATAACTGATAATTGTCTCCATTTGCCATTGCACTTTTTTGTTTGTTTTTTCAAGACAGGGTTTCTCTGTTTTAGCCTTACCTGTCCTGGAACTCACTCTGCCGACCAGGCTGACCTGGAACTCAGAGATCTGCCTACCTGTGCTATAAGTACTGGGATTCAAGGCATGTGCCATCACACTATTATGAAAGTTGTTTAAATAAAGTGTGGCTGTAGATCTGGGACAATGAGAACAGTTTAGGTAATCTTTGTACCAGTTTCTGTGCCCTTCAGCCTGGGTATGGTGGTGCATGTCTTTAACAGAGGCATGCAACAGGCACAAGCATGTGGACCTTTGCGAGTTCTAGGTTAGTGTGGTCTACAAACCGAGCTCCAGGACAGCCAAGCTCATACACACACCCTGCCATAAAAATATACATATGTAAAATTAAAAAAAAAAAAAAACCTTCTTCAGAAGTTGGAAAGACAGCTGAGTGGTTCAAAGCATGGGCTGTTCTGGCAGAGGACCAGGCTTTGATGGCTCAGCAATGACATGGTTACTAACAACCTTCTTTAACTCTAGTTCCAGGCGATCGGCCTCCTCTGGCCCTGCACTCAAAGCTTCAACAGACATATAAGGTAAAGATTATGGGTGTGTACTACCACACCAACTCACATGAAATCCAATGCTTTGGGCATGCTGGGTAAGCACTGTACCGAATGAGCTACATCCCAGCCCTGTATATTATGAATTAGAGATACATGAGAGACTAGAGAGATGTCTTAGTGGGTTACAATGGGCTTGCTATCTTAGCATGAGGGCCTAAGTAGGAAGCGTAGTTCCCAGGAAAAAGCCAGCTGGTAACCCCAGCACTGGGGAGCTGAGACAAGCAGATGCCATGGACTCAATAGCACACCATCCTAGCCGAAACAGGTTGACTGGGAGACCTTATTTCAGGGTCAGAGACGTGGGCCAAGTCTGATGACCTGAGCTTGGTATCCAGGACTCATGCGGTAGAAGGAGAAAACCAACTCTTCACCACATATTCCCGCCAATACACATAAATATAAAGCATTAGATGATCCCTTTGAAAACACTCATACAATCAGGAGTCACAGCTTACCTTCTGAGCACACAAAGCACCAACTGACATTAACATGTTCATGATTTCGGCAGCCCCGCCGAGGGGTAAAGTGATTAGGGCAGATGATGCTATTAGATGCAAGGATTTTTGACCCAGCAGCAAGACAGAAGTCATTAGCATGGTATGCCACAGGACATCGGACACAGCGCATCAGACGACCTGCAGTAATGGGAAGCAGGAAAGGGGGAAGAGCAAGAGAAAAAGTTACGTATGGAGCAGAGTGGATTACGCTAGTCTTTTTGCCAGCAGGGAGAAAACATCAGGAATAGAAGAACCACTTGAAAGCACGGCTCTTAGTCAGGCATGGCAGTGCATACTTTTAATCCCACCACTTGGAAAGGCCAGCTTGGTCTACACAGTGAGTCCAGGACCACAAAGGCTACAGAGAGAAACCCTGTTTTGAAAAATCCAACCCCCCCTCTCCAAACCAGCGGCGTCAACAAAACATGGCTCTTAAACATGTAACCCACTATTACGAATAAGAGAGGCTGGAGAGACGGCTCAGAGATTAAGAGCACTGACTGCCCTTCCAAAGGTCCTGAGTTCAATTCCCAGCAACCACAGAGTGGCTCACAACCATCTATAGTGAGAGCTAGTGCCCTTTTCTGGTTTGCAGACAGAATGCTGTATAAATAAATCTTTTTTAAAAAAGTGTGTTTCCTATCATTTACACAAACACACACACACGTAAACACAAACACAAAGAGGGAAGAGGGGGAGCTCTGTAGCAGTCCCCAGTAGGAGTAAGCCTGCACAACTGTAAATGCACCTGTCTCAGCAAGGAGAACATGATGCAAATACTTACCTTGAGTACTACAATGGCTGGAATACATGCAAATTAAAAGGAATGGAATGGTGGGGTTCTAGTGTTTGCCTAATACTCTATGATGCGTATTTTCCAGATGGATCTCCTAATGTACCTCAGGAACTAAAACCAGCCTCAAGCCACTCAAATCAATCATATAGTAGCAGCAATTAAAAGAAAATAGGAAGTGCACTGATGTTTTAAAATAGAAGATGCTTTCAAATAAGTTCTCGTATGATATTTAAATATTTTAAAGTGTTAGCTGGAAATTCCACAGAGGATAATTTATTACTCTATTAAGAGACAATGTCGCTCCTTTACCTGATGAACATTTAAATCTAACTATGGCCAGAGCAGCTGCAGCCTCCCGTAGATTGTTCGTAGACAAGCCCATACCTTTGGAGGCAGACACACTGGCGGGATTGGCAGCGTGGCAGGTGATGCAGGTGTGGAGGGGGCACCGGAAGCCCTTGTTCTGCGTGACAGTTGCTGGGTACTTCTGGACACAGTCCTCGTGGTAAAACTTCCCACACAAGGGCAGAAGGCACCTTTTCACATCTTCCCCACTCTGCTTACACACAAAACAGGTGTGGATTCCTGGGGGGGGGGGGAGACACGCAAATTAATCTACCACAACCACAAGAGTCTATCCCAACCAAGCATTAGGTGTTAAGTTAGTGAAAAACTTCAGCAAACTGACAAAACCTGACTCTAACAAATGAACAACTCTGGTGTCTTTATAAGGGACAATCTGGCCAGATGTGTGCTTACTGGTATGATATGATGGGATGTGTACTATACTGTCTACATAGCATTCCTGTCAAGAGAAACTCAGTTTTGATCAAATCCAGCCTCTAGATCCAACCAAGCTGTAGGATACAACCAACACAGGAGCAGGAAGCTGGCTGGACGTCCAACCAGTCGGTGTGCTGCTCACTCTACCTTGAGGGCTTAGATGACTGTTCTCTGACCTCCATACAGGGATGAGGACACACGGAGGCACACACACCAGACAAACAAGACAGAAAAGATAGAGACATGCAGAATAAATAAATAACATTTTTTGAAGAAAGAAAATAGAAGAACAAGTTAAAGGGATATATCAAGTAAACTACCAATCAAATTTAGAGGGCAGAAAATTCAATAGGACAGATAGACAAAGCTTCAACAAATAAATGGTCAAAAAACAAACAAACAACAAAAAAACATGGTGAGAAGAGGACTTCAAATCCAAGTAAGGGAAATAAAATAAAAACAAAACAGAACAATACAGGCACTTTATTTGGATTTTACTTTTTTAAATGAAGCTCAGGCTGGCCTCCAACTTATTATTTAACTGAAAATAAGCTTCAACTCTTAATTTCCTTGCCTCTACCTCCCAAGTGCTAGGATTAAAAGGGCATAGTCTACCACATCTGGTTTTGTAGGCTGATTTGGAAAAGCACAGGACCTGAGCTCCACCAGAGCACTCCTCAGCAGAGGTAAGGTGGTACAGGCTCATGATCCTAGCACTGTGGAGGCACAGACAGGAGGACAGCTGCAGTCTGAAAGTCAGCCAGCCTGGGCTAATAGGTGAGCCCAGGTCACAATGACAAAATCTGCTTTACAAATATAAACTGCTAGCCAGCTGATGGTGGCACACATCTTTAATCCCAGTACTTGGGAGGTAGAGGCAGGTAGATCTCTCTGAGTTGGAGGCCAGCCTGGGCTACTGAATCAGTTCTAGGACAATCAAAGCTACACAGAGAAACTCTGTCTCAAAAAATCAAAAGGAAATGTGAACTTCAGATATAGCTTTATATACATTTAAGCTCAGCACTCAGAATGCAGACAGGTAAATTTGAGTATAATGCAAATTCCAGGACAGCCAAGATTTTATAAAAAGACCCTGCCTCAATAAAACAAAACGAAAAAAAATCAAATGGTGTCTTTAAAAATACTGACTTCACTTCTACAAGCACCCACACAGAAAAACATTTAAATAATATCTTAGGTTTATTTCTGGTTTATGTAACAAAATTCCCTGACAAGGGAAGTTACAGAAGAAAGGGTTTATTTTAAGTTATAATTTCAGATTATGGTCTATCACTGCAGGAAGCCAAGGTGGCAGGAACAAGTCAATTAATTTAAGGCAATCTCCTACAGACATGGCACCAAGCCAAACACATTTAGACAATTCTTTGTGAGGCTTTCTGGGGAATCCTGAGAGCTGAACTCAAGAGTCTGCCTACCTCTCTGGTTCTCAAGTGCTAGGATTAAAGGCTTGTTGTACCACTGTGCCAAAACAATTCTTATCCCTTCTCAGATAATTCTACATTGTGATGAGTCGATTAAAACTATCACAATCAGCCAGGTATGGTGGCACACACCTCTGGTCCCAGCACTGGGGAGGCAGAGGCAGGCGGATCTCTGTGAGTTCGAAGGCTGGTCTTTAGAGTCCAGAACAGCCAGGAATTTGTTTCACAGAGAAACCCTGTCTTGAACACCAAACCCCTGAAAATAAAATAAATAAAACTGTCACAAGGTTTTTGCTTTAAATACCTTTGAGACAAATGAAAAAATCTGAAAATGAACACAGCAACTCTAACTCTTTCTTCTTAAAGTTGTTAGAAGGCTTCAAGTGTACAGAGGAAGTAATGACTGAGATTCACGAGCTTGTAGAGTCTCTCTCTCTCTCTCTCTCTGTGTGTGTGTGTGTGTGTGTGTGTGTGTGTGTGTGTGTGTGTGTGAGTGAAGTGGAGGTCAAGGCTGAAGGCTGACACGCAATGTTTCTTCAGTCACTCTCTACCTTTTATTTTAAAAGATTTATTTGTGATTGAGTGTGTGTGTGCGCGCACGCACAGATGCACATGCATGATCCTGCTGAGGCCAGAGGAGGGTCCTGGACCCCCTGGCCCTGGAGTTACAAGCAGTAGTGAGCTGCCAGGTGTGGGTGCAGGGAACTGAACTCAGGTTCTGGGAACACCAAGAAGCCTCTTTACCATGGAGTCATCTCTGCGGTACTGTCTACTTTATTTTTTGAGACAGTGTTGCTCACTGATGCCAGCAGGTTGGCTCCAAGAATCTGCCTGTCTTTGTCCCCAGTGTCTGGGATTACAGACACACATTGTCATGCCTGGCATTTTGCATGGATGCTGGGAATCCCAACTCAGGTCCTTATGTTTGCATGGCAACCATTTTATTGACTGAGCCACTTTACTTTTTGCTCTACCTTTATGTATGTCCATAATGAAAAGCTAAGGAAAGAAAGAGAAGAGGGGATAGACAGAAAAGGAGAGACTCTCCTTTGGAGATACAGCACCATGAGATGCAAAAGAATGGAAAAGGCAAGCATTGAAAAGCAAAGCTGAGCATGAACTCTTGCTTGACATTTGGTATAAAATTTAACTAAAACACTAATCTATAAATACTGAGGTCACTCAAATTAATAAATTAAGAAAAAAACTTTATGTATTTATAAAGAATAAGCAGTTATACAGAAAAACTCTGTCTTTAAAAATAAACCACAGCTTGCCCAAGAAAAACAAACAAATAAAAACCTCAAGAGGATATTACAAAACTATTTTTAAACTAGAGCAATTCAACTAAGGAAATGATCACCCTGGTACAGTAAAACAGGAAGAAACAAAGTAGGGAAACAATATTTTCTTACTTTCTTATCTTTCAGGAAGTAGGTAAAATATCTTACATAGCCTTTGGTTGAGGATATAGTTCTGTGATAACAATGCTTGCCTGCATAAGACTGAATCTAACTCACTCTGAATGTAATTGTCAGTCCTGGAAAAATAAAAATGGAAGTTCCTCTATACATTAAACCACATGTACAAGTTACTTCTAAATAGATTATACACATTAATATGTAGGCAGAAGCTATAAAATATAATATAATATAAAATATAATATACAGAATATACTAGTAGAAAAAGTCATTTACACCAAGTCTTAGATATGACATAATACAAATAATACATAATATAGTATAATAATACAACATTATAACATAATTGTAATACATATAATACCAATATAACACAAATGAACATTGGTAAACTAAGGGCCAGTGGGTAAGAGCACACTGGCTTCTCTTCTAGAAGACTTGGGTTCAACTCCAGGAGAACCAATGTCCTCTTCTAGCCAGGGGTGCTCAATGATGTGGGCAGGTTTGCTCCAGGGTGCCAAGCAAGCAGGTCGTACACATACATACATGGATACAGGCAAAACACCCATACACAGAAGATAAAAATCTTTAAAATTACTGACAAATTAGACCTCACTAAATCTATTTTATTCATTTATTCATTCATTCATTCATTCATTCATTCATTCATTCATTCATTCATTCATGCATGCATGCATGCATGCATGCAGTGTTCTACCTGCATGTGTGCCTGCAGGCCAGAAGAGGGCACCAGATCTCATTATAGATGGTTATGAGACACCATGTGGTTGCTGGGAATGAATCCAGGAACTTTGGAAGGACAGCCAGTGCTCTTATACTCTGAGCCATCTCTCCAGCCCCTGACTTTACTAAAATTTAAAATGTCAGGATTACTGTGAGTTTGAGGACAGTTTGGTTTATAAAGCAAGTCCAGGATGGCCAAGGCTGTCCCCAAAATAAAAAAAGAGTCTGTTCCTATGCAGACAATAAGAAAATTAATCTAAGACAGGTGCATATAGAAGTTGTTCTGGTACTTTTCATCACGTCTGGACCTTGAGCACACACGTTTGCTGACTCTTGTAGCAACGCTGATTCCCCAACCTACGGTGTGTGCTCTGTGTCTCATGCTGACTCAGCACAGCAGGCAGTCATTCTGCCATCTTCCCTCTTGCCTCCTGTTTCTGCTGGCACTCCCCCTGCTGCTGTGCTCTGCTCTGTTGCTTGAGGGTAGTGGAGGGCCTGCCTGACCCTGCCTAGGGACAGTGTAACAAAACTGCTTAGTTGTGGAAAAAATCCAAGTCCCAAATGCTAACAAGCACAGCTGAAAGAAAACCATCTTTAAATATTTTGCAGCAGAACTTGAAGACGATTGTTTTTTGACTGAACCTCCACTGAATACTCAAGAAAAAGAAAATATATAGTCGATTAAAGTAATATTTGAATCCTTCAATATCCAGGCGTGTATTATTGTGCAGGCTATTCCTGCCTCCTCCATATCATGGACCTCAAAATAAGTCAGGCACCGACTTAAGTCAGTGACATAACAGAGTCCACGTCATTCATGTCATTTCTGTAGCAGAAAGTATGTGCTCAGCAGCTGGATTAGACATATTCCAATCACAGGACAAGACCCAGAACTTTGTTTGGCAGCCACCGAGAGGCGGAGACGAGGAACTCTCCTGTAATGATCCCTGGAGCCTGTGAGCACTGAGGATGGTGAGCACAGTTTTGTCTGCCTGAGCGTCAAAGTGCTAACAGTAAGACAGGTCCAAATGTATTACCCTTGTTCTACAAGCTAAGAGATTACAAGAATGAATTCTCACTGAGGTTGTTTCTCTGATTCTTGGGATCTAAGATTTCTTTATAACTGAGCTCGCCGATATAGATTTTATTCGACCTGTCTAGGAAGATACACAGTAATTCAGAACTGTTCTACCGA